CCTTTGTGCCCCTGCCTGTAATTCATTCATTCTTTTCTTTGTCTCTTATCACTTCAGTGTGTACCCAGCCATTACAATATTGTCCTTTTGATGATGAAGTATGGAGGCTATAAAACATCTCTGCCTGACCATTTCCCTCTGTTTTTATCATCTGGCAACATACTCTTTTTACTCTCTTTCTTGCTTCTTCTCTGAACATTTATAAATCTTTTCTTGATTCCACTCGCATTTTTATGGACCTGGATTCTGCAGCATATTTTTCAGGATATGCAAAGCTCAGGATTTCCTGTTTACCAGTTTATGCCATTTTGCTTAATGCCATCTCGTTTCTTCTTCACTGGTGTTCTGTTTCCTTCCCTACTGCTAATTTTCTACCCATGAGACACTTTCCACTAAGTCTGAATTTTCAGTAATTCTGGAGGCCACTCTGGAGGCAGGTCTGCATAAGAATGGGGAAGGAGGAGATGGAGAGGGGCTGCTCAGTCATCTGGCCAGATGTGTATATAATCAGCATGCATGCCTGCACATCATTGAGCTACGCTGATGTTCCTATTGTTTCACTAGTAACTCTGTGCCAGGCTATAAATGCAAAATAAATGGCAATAAGAAAACATGGGAGTACAAGAGACTATGACCCTGAATTAATTAGATCATGCCTGTTACTCCTGGCAACATGACCAAAGTTATACAGGAGAATATGTAGCTCCATGCCTCATTCACCGACCGCAGCTCTGGCCCACATCTCTTCAGACATCTGTTCTGTGGACATCTTGTTCCCCATCTCCCCTTCTTTCATACTCCTGAGACTTCAGTCAGAGCAGGGAATTATGCTCAGGGCTTGATGTGAATGCTGTCACATCATTTGCTACAGCTGCAGCCAACCACAAAAGGACCTAAAAATCAGGGATTACCTCTTTTCATTTGTTTTCTAGATCTGTCTTTTTAATCTCTGTTTCTATGACACTGATGATCTCATTTTCCCTGTTGAAAATATCATCTAGTCCTGTAATTAGGAGATTGCTGGTTCTGATACAACATCTAATTTCTTACTGTCTCAGTATTATGAGGTCTGAAGCAAGCTACATGAAGAGATGTATTAAGTAGTTTGCTTAAATGGTGGGTAACCTTAATTAAGTGCTAATTTAATAATCGTCTAAAACAAAACACATTGTAGATTGCAACAGTCTAGAATGTGCTGCTTTTGTAACTACAAGGTTCGCACACCTGTGATCTGAACCTCATTCTGACAGCATCTCCTGCACCATCGTAACCCCGTGCCTCCCTAATGGATGCTCACATTAGCCGTTCTCTCTGCTAACCTCCACGCAGTTGATCTCTGTCCTAGGAATAGCTCACTTGAGACTCCTTGTCTTTTTCCTGCCTGATGGTCTGCAGCAGAATCCCCTGTGGCTGTCAACTGTTTTTCCCCTTTCATTTGCACCTAAGAGCATCCTGTGCTTGTTCCTGTTGTGCACCCGCAGCCTTTGCCCTCAGTCTCCTTGCTGAGCAGGGTGCACGTGTGCTCTGACCCCTCCTGGAGCTCCAATTACCCTGTAGCTGGCACTGATGGGTTTTTTCCATGGTAGAAGCTTTTCTGACCACTGGAAATTTCAGACCTTGGGGACTCTGTAGAGAAAGACATGGGAGATCCCATGCTGGGTTGGCATGATCACAGCAGCAGTCTCCCCTCTGAATGTGCTGCTGTGGTGACATGAAAGAGACGGAGCATGCCCAACCATCTCATCCTAATTCAGTAATTCACATGGATGTTTTGCCTGAGAACTGCTAGTTAGAAATGACCCTATTACACCACCCTTCTCTCTCATGATCACCTGTACTGATTCTGGTCAGTGATACAAGTAATGGGATTTTCATGAAACGGGGAGAGATGGGTTCATATGTGTGGTCATTCAGAAGATGTTGACTCCATGCTTACTGCAGTGCAGTAACAGGTACTTCAGCGATACCAAGAGTAATGTTGAACGTGGCAGGACTGATAACATAAATAGTGGTGGAAGGAGACATTATGGTGATATTAGCACTGAACCTGCTAATTTCATAATAAGGGACAATCACAGAGGTAATTGTAGGAGTGGTGAAATGAATGGGGAAATCTGGACTTGGAGTTGGCTTCCAGGTATCGAAGGTCATGATGCTAATCTGCAGTGGAACCACAGTACCATCCATGTTGGTAAAAGATATTTGCCTTCTGTCCTAACGTAGCATTACCAAACCAGAAGGAGCTTGTGAATTGAACTCTAAAACATCTAAAAAGTCCCAGTTCACACCCTGTGCTCTTGTTCCACCCAGTCCTTGCTTTTGTTTTATGCAATTAGTCTTGCCACTTGGATACCTTTGTCCCCATTTATAAGACATAACTACCCTCTCCAGTTTAAAATTGCTGCTGTGTTTGACATAACCTCAGTCACCCTTCAATTAGTCTCCCATACACTCTCCATCTCAGGCCATTGCCTCTCATTAATCTCTTGTGCAGAGTTGTCATATCTTCCTCTTTCCATATTTTTGTACTCTGCATCTCCTTCTGTATCCTCCTTTGTTGATTAGACTTTTCCTTGCCCAGAGCGTAGAAGCGGTGAGATGCTGTGCAGGGAGAAGCGCATACTGACCCTGAGCTAGGAGCCGCAGCAAAGTAGCTGCTCGGTTTTGTGCCTTGATGTCCTCTGCTACCTCCTCTCGTGACTGCTAATTTCATCGCCTGTGCTGCATAAGGCACTTGGTTCTCTAGAGCCGCTGTACCTGAGGGCAGGAAAGGCAAATGGCTCTGCATGCAGGAGCACTAGATAAGCAGCATTTGAGGGCTGGTCTTCCTGGCTGAACAGGCAGGGTCTGGCTTGCCTGTAAGAGCCCACCTGTTCAACACCTCTCCGTGCGTCCTTGGGACCACATCAGTGTTTGTACCAGAGTCCCAGCATACTCTACCTTAAATATCACTTATGTACAGATAACAGATCATCTGTCATTAGAGCGTATGGCCTTTCTATCTGGCACATTGATAACCTATTTCAGCTCTGATGGCAGTAGCCTTCTCTTTTCATGTGCTCCTGACTTTCTCTGCTCTTTTTTGGCAGATTGATGGATTTACCCTGAAATAATGAGCCTGATTCCCCCCTCCTCTCACATTTTCTGCCATAAAAAGTGACAGTTATTGCTGTCAAATCAGAATTGCAGTTTTTATGGTCAGTCTATAGTCATTTTGCATAAACGAATGTGACTGTGCAAGATGCGAGGCTGCAGGGATCAAACCCCTCGTCCATAGCATTTATTTTCTCATTATTTTCCTTCTGTAAAGACTCCTGTGTCCACATGTGCTAGGAAGGGCTGTATAAATAAAAAAATTGCATGCATTATACAAACACAGTCCTTATTTAAGCAGACCTCTTTCTGAACGCAGTGTGAGATTTGCAAGAAGTCAGGATCTGGCCCATCATGAATAAATATGCTGCAATTACACAGAAACGGCCTGTGCTGAGATAACTAATGCTCTTCCTCTCTGTTTGTAGTTCAGAGATGCCGGTCAAGGAGGCTTGTGTAACCAAGCTATCATGCTGATCACAGATGGAGCAGTGGAGGATTATGAAGCTGTGTTTGAAAAATACAACTGGCCAGATCGGAAGGTTTGTCTGGGGAGTGATAAATAGGAAGGGTGAGGAAATGTGCTATCCTGCTATGGTGGGAATAGAAGAGCGTGAGCCAGGATGACGGGCAGAGCGGAGCATTCACATTCTCCAATACCCATGTGCATCTGGCTGTAAACATAAAATCAAGCAGCCAGCCAGGAGTCTGCTGTGGTGATTTTAGAGGTGGTAGGATCACAAATGGATATCTGTAGGTCAGTGAAGATTTTTTTTTTTCATACACTTTGTTTTTAAAGGTGTGGGCAATCAAAACATTCTCCTGATAAGATGATAAAGACTGAGCCAAGTATTTTAAAATTAAAAATAAAAAACTTTCGCAAAGAATTTTAAGCCCACCCAGGACTGTTTATAATTGGTCCTGTTTGGGAAAGGTTTGGCTATTACCAGTTCTTATAGTGGGCAGGGGAATGGCCCAGACCACCTCTTTAGGTGTCTTCCAGCCCTGTTTACTTTGAGGTCTGTGATTACAGGCTTGTACTAGCAGAGCAGACTGTGAAAGTGGAATAGACCATGGCTCATCCTAAACCCTCCTGATTTATTTGTTTACCTCATTCCAGCTAGCAGCAATGAACAAAGGGAGAAAAGCAGGCTACTGAAAGACCAGAGCATGGGACTGTTAAAGCAGTTTATTTCAGGATTGGCTCTTTTGTTGTTGGTCAAACACAGGAGAAATGGTGAAGCTTTCTCTAAATGATTCATGCGGCCAGCTGTTCCCCTGGGTAAAGGATTCCTGTGAGCTATAAACCTCTCTGCATGTGGTTGCTGAGTGCCTGGCAGAGCTGCTATCATAAAATGAGGCAAAATTTGCAATGCTGCCTTGTTATTCAGATGATCCCGAGTGCTGCTTGGCTTTCTGAGCTTATTGTAATTGGAATTGAAGTTCCAGCCCACAAAATGCGAAACAAATGGAGCAAGAGGTTCCTGTCTGTGTGTGAAGGCAGAGCTATTTCTATGCACCACAAACAGGCATTCACACCAGTGTATAGCAGGATGCCAGACCTCGGTCATTTGGATTTGGTAGTACATTACAGCCTAATTCTTCTGTCTTTGCATTCTTGTTCCCAGGTCCGGGTTTTCACTTACCTCATTGGACGGGAGGTCACTTTTGCCCCCAATGTGAAATGGATCGCCTGTAACAACAAAGGTGCTGTATGGGAATGGTTCCCCGTCCCCAATCACACACATCACACATGGCTGCAGCCACGGGACCTGGGCCCCACTACAGCTGGGGCCCACGAGCCCTCGGTTGGAAGACGACCTAAAGAAAAAGCAGACTCTGCTAGTCCATGTGAAGTGTGTCTGTGTCCAACTAACACAAGTTCTCCATGCTGAGCCACCACGTTTTCCTGTCACAGTGCCAAGGGACACTATGACCGAGATTCATGGTGGCTGTAGTCCACCTAAGTCCCTGTGCTTATTGTGTCCCAGTTGTTGGCTTTTGACAGTCTGTCTAAACCTCTGTCAGAAAGCCTGACATCTTTTGGCTGAGATGTAAACCAAACATCTCTTCTTTAAAGATTTTACAGCACTTTTCGCAAGGTCTGCAGGTTAACCCTTGTATCCTGGGCAAATTCTTTGTGTGCCAGTGGTTTCACTAAGGTACCAGAATAGCTTGTTAATCCCACCCCAAAACCAATATTCTCTCTAGCTGGCATGAAATGGCATGAATGGGAAAATCCATTCAGAGTAGGTGTTTCACCTCCCAGTTAGCCCTATGAGGGTCTGCAAGGGTAAAGGAAGACAGGAAAAAACAAAAGTCTTCCCTGTTTGGGCATGACTTGGCCTCAGTGTGTCTGGAGAGAGTCAGCAATGCTTGCTACATCAGTATCCTTCTTAAACAGGGAAGGGAAGACTGAAGTTGGGGGCTGACTAGCTAGGTATATTGACTCTTGTCTGAGCAGTGGCTCCAGCAGACTATGAAATGCATGGGTGCATTTGTTACTGAAAATAATTGGCAGACAAGAGTTGCTGGCCTGCAGAATGTAAGCTGGGAATGTTCAAGGCTCAAACGTTTGTTTATTAGCACTATGAATCATACATAACATTTTTAGGTTTTGTTAGATGAAACAAAACCTGGATTTCAGATTGCATATTCAGCCATAAGATTAGTGACAAGGAATTGATGGTGGTTCACCATAAAATGTGAGAATGGATGCTTCTGAATAACAAAACAGAGAACAAAAATATGCTCTTTGCACTTGAATTCTCACTTACCAGACTTGAGCTCTGCAGAAGGGTCACTGGTTTTGGTTATCCTATTTCAACACATTGTAGGGCTCTTGTAGTCCTTGTTTTCAAGCACACTAAATCTGTTTCCACATCACAAAGCTTATCAGACCATGAGCCCTTTTGCATGGCAATGTTTTCCTGGTGATAACAAAAGTTTTCCATCTATCTGACATACTCTGTCCTATACCAAGTACAGCCAATCAGTTCCATGTGGTGAGGAGCAGGACAAGAGTCCTTGTGACATTACACTGTGTTAGCATTTCTAACCAGTTAAACAGCTGGTTTAGAGGACTTTTGGATAACTTGAAGACATTCTTCCCTGTACTCCTTGTTGTAGTATTAGATTGTTATGGGTCCATCTGCAGGGAGAAAGCTCTGGAAATAGGTAACTTAGCTACAGTCTTTGACATCCAGTTTTCTAGCTTTGCACAGACACTCCTTTAAAAATACGGAAGATGTGTTAGCAAGAGTGACTCACACCTCTGTTTCTCCCTGAAGGCTACTACACTCAGATCTCCACGCTGGCAGATGTCCAGGAGAACGTGATGGAGTACCTGCATGTGCTCAGCCGTCCCATGGTCATCAACCATGACCATGATATTATTTGGACTGAAGCCTACATGGACAGTGCGGTAAGGACCTACAGCACAAGTCTTCAGCCAGCAAACAGTAGGGCCTATAGGCCAAACTGGCAAAGGTGTTGGACACCCAGCATACAACTTGTCCCAGCTTCCCGTCTAAATATCTTATATGTATCAGAACCAAATAAAGTCCTGAAACTTATGTAAAACCAGGAGCTGGTTGATGGATAGAAATTACTGGTCTCTGGCTCTGCTGAGACAGACAATATTTCTTTCTGCTCATTCCTGGAGTTGAGATGTGTATGTAGACTCGGGTCTGAATCTGCAGTGACCCAGGAGCCCAGGGCTAATCACACAGGCACAGCATGACTTAAGTAGTGCTTCTGTGAAAGCAGGTTACCTTCTAAAGGATTATTCACAGGAAAGATTATTTACAGCTCAGGATACAGGTCACAGAGATTTATCTCCTCCAGCCCAGTAGCTAACTGCATACTGCTTGCCACTCAAAGATACAGATCTCAGTTTGGGAAGCAGGCTCACTCTTTCGTTCCTTGGGCTAGCAAGACCCAACACCACTGCAGTGGCCCGGTGCTTATCCCTGTGGGTAAAGGACATATCGCAAGGGACCACACAGTCAGCACTCCCAGTGCCCCTTGCTTTGTCTCAGACCTGCCCTACAGGAAGACTTAAGACATTTGGACAACAAGCAGGTGCCATTACGGTGTTGTGTTGCCAAGGCAGCTTTGAAATTCAAAGGACTGAAAGGAAGGACAAAGGAGTAGATCACCACTGAAGGAGCCTTCTCCTGCACTTCCCCAAATTGAAGTTGTTCCTCAATCTTTGTCTCCATCCCTTTCTACACTGCAGAAAGAGAATGTTACAGTTGTTCTTTTGGGGCTCCCTCTGCTTTCAGGTAGATAAAGTTTTTTCCTACACTGGACTTTTCACCCCAGAGAAGTGTCTGCATAAGTGTGACAGTTAGAGCTGACCAGTAGTCAGATTCCCCTCTTCCAGAAACAAACATGAGGTCTCAGGACTGTTGATACTATCTGAGGGGAAAAATCTTCTAGAAACTTTGAGAATGTTTCTATACACAACCCCACTGTGGGACTGAAGTTGTTAGCCGAGGTCTGGCCAGCAGCAGCTTTAGGGTGTCTGCCACAGCCCTGGGGAGAGCCCACAGTTTTCTGGTTTAAGATCCATAGTGAGAAACCTGAACTCTCTGAGTTGAAGTAAAACTAGGGGTACTGAGCTTAGCTTTGTAGCAGGAAACACGGAAGTCCAGGTCACACATGGCAGTGCTCGATGCTGTGTTCAGAGTCAAGAACACACAAATCCCAGGAAACACCTCCAAGGCAGCCAGGCTTGCACCATCATGGTGCATAGGTGCTATGCTTTCATGGGAAGAGACTGTCCCTCACCTCTGTGCTGTGGCTGACCATTGAGGCTGCAGCTGTGACGCACTAGCTCTGTGAGGGTGACATTGGGATGTCTTCTGCTGCAGGAGCTGTGCCAAGTGAGAGCTGGGGACAAGGTACTTGAGTGTGCTAAGCAAAATCTCCAGAAATGCTACTAGCTACCCAACAAGTTTATTCTAATAGCAGGCATGCCACCCCTGGCACTGGTGTATGGTGTCACACTTCCCAAGACAGACACAGGGATTTGTTTGCTGTACTTTTTTTGCTGCATCTCTTTTCTTATCTCTTGGCTTGGCTTGTCATTCACTTCCTCTGCCCCCACCTCTCCCATCTTTGATTTATTCCTCCATTCGTGTATTCATTCATCTGTTCGTCCATGTCTCTCACTAGCTGCCACAGTCTGAGGAGGTAAATGCACCCCTGTGTTTTGTGAGCGTGCTGTTTCCCTTGTGCCGGTTGGTGTGTTGGTGCCAGTGCTCACAGCCACAGCTGGCCTGTACATCTGGAGGGGGGTGGGGACTGCAGCACTGAAGGAGCCCTCTTACGCTGGCAAGAAGAGGAGAGGAAATGTTGGATGTACTGGAGAGCTGTGCTGTGCTGTTGGTTCAGAGTAGGTAGGGGTGTCTGTGTTGTGCTGTAGCTTAGTTCACCGGATCTCTTTTTCCAGTAAGTGCCTGAGAAGTTTACTTGCTGTGTGTTGGTGTGAGTGTTGCTGTGAATGGGAAGTTTCCACACAGAATCATCCAGACCAGGCTCAAATCTCCATCAAGTAGCTGCATAGATTATTGACTGGCTCCTTTATGGCTCCTGGCATGTACAGTAATGGAGACAGGAGGTCATTCCCTGCCTTGCTACTTACTTGACCAAATGAGAGATGGACGGGCGATGCTACTGGCATCGAGGGATTAGTTTCTTTTGATAGCTAGGCTAGTTTGGGAGACTTCTTTGCATGTGTCTTGCCTGTTTTACCTCCTTTCATGTGTTTTTAGAGCATCCATCTTCTGCAATACTGGGAGCATCTGTTACCCCATTACACATGCATGTCCTGTATCCCCTGTAGAGATAGCTCACAGTGTTGTATCTATTTGGATCATGGTTTTGTCTCTGTTTTTCCTAAGCTTAGATGCCTGAGTAACAAGTATATATAAGCAAGCTCTGCTTATGTGTATTTGTGCCTTTTAAATACTTGCCTGTGGTGTTTCTCATTCGTGGTATTCATGTGTTTGCAATATAGATGATCTTTTGTTTGTGATTTTGCTCATATTTGTGTGCTTTTCTCTATTCTGTGCTCTTTGTGTTGGTGGTTTTTACACTTGTTGCATAAGTGCTCATGTCTACGCTCCTAATGCGTGGTGGGTATAAATTGTGCAGCCACTTCTACAGGTTCCTGTCTCTTCATTAAAACAGCTCTTTAATTTCTCCTGCTTCAACACATTTCACTGGCTTTCATCCCATCCTCATCACCCCACATAAGCAAGCATCCATCCCACGATCCTCTTGGATACAGAGTATTGAAAAGTGCTGCCATCTGTTTCTAGAGGGGTGTGGGAGGCAAGGAGGTGGCTAATTGTAATCAACATCTGGGGTCCTTGGGAATTCCAGTGCCTTTCATTCGGGTTATCTGTGGTATTGCATTTGCTAACACATGGCTCGTTGTTCTGTGGCAGCTCTTTGCATCTCAAGCTCAAAGTCTGTTGCTCATGACAACAGTGGCTATGCCAGTCTTCAGCAAAAAGAACGAGACGGTGAGTGCAATGAGGGCTTCACTCTCCTTCCAGCCAGCAGAGGTGAAAGGATGTAGCAGACCTTTGCTGGGTTTTAAAGCCAATGGGTCTCTGAAAGAAGAGCTGGCCATTAGGGACTGCGGTAGACCTCTGGCAGGATGTGCAGCTGATAATTTATCTGACAAAATTACAGTCTGTCATTTCCCCTAAATGCTATTTCTTCACAATACCCCTTAAATATGACACTTCTCCCTGTTTTATCCCTTTCATTTTCAAACCTAGCCTAATTCACAGATCCATAAAGTTTGAGGCTAGAAGAGATCATTACCTTGTCTAGCCTGTGCATTTTATTGCAGACATTTACATTTCATATAGATGATCCTTCATGAACCCAATAACCTGTGTTTGGCAAAAGTGTCATTGAAGAAAGGCATCCAGCCCTGAGGTCTCCATTGTGGTTTCTCAACTCTCTGTTAAAAACTGGTGTCTAAATTCCACTTCCAATTTGTCTGGTTTCACCTTCCTGTCATAATGGCTTTCTCTGCTAGATTAAAAAGCCTGTACCCTTTTGGTATCTCCTGCTGGGAAGCATCTTCTACACTGCAATAAAGTCAAACCTGTCTATCTTTTGATAAGATAAAAAGGCTGAACAATTTAGGTGTCTTTGATAAGGGCATTTCCTCTGGGTTTTGAAACCCTTTAGACACTCTTTTCCATACCATTTCTAGTTTCTGAGCACTCTTTTTAAATGGTGGACAGTACCTTACTATTGCTGTATGGGGATAAACTCTTCATCCAGGTCTTACAAACAGTTGTCTGCCTCTTCCACCTGAGGCTGGCCTTAACCTGTATTAGCACAGCGCTGCAGTGGGAGCCTGTATGTCATTTTTCCATCATGCTCCTCAGATGCTTATTAAACAACCAGTTCCCCATTTCATGGGGATTTCCTGCATTCATTTTTGCCAGGTTAACAATCTTGTATTTGACGTTTGGTTTAGTTGGCCCAAGTTATCAACTGATCCATGCTGTTCTGCATGATTGCCTTGCCCTTACTGTTATTTACACATACTGAGTGCAGGGTTTTGCCCTCAAAAATTTTTGTCATGATTTTATGCTACTTCTGAATCAGTCAGAAATACTGAGAGTATTGGGTAGAAATGCTCCTCTCCATAAAGACTGGAGCAACTCCTTGAGACTTTTTGAGGTATGTTAGTTGGTTTTGAATGAATATATTCATACAAGGATAGACAGAACATGTGAGAGACTAGTAGGAAGGCAATAATGTGTATTCAGGTAGAGAGCTACCAAAGTTTTGCTCCTGAAAATGGATTCTCGTTTGTTTTTAAGCGATCTCATGGCATTCTCCTTGGTGTGGTGGGCTCTGATGTACCACTGAGGGAGTTGTTAAAACTTGCTCCACGGTATAAGGTAAGACTGAGATAATGCTATCTGTTATCTTGCACAGCAAAGTCACTAGTCATTATTCCATGGGCATGACTGAAAAATCATTCCTTTGCCTGTAGAAAGAACTATGAGCATAAAGCAAGAGATGCTGGATATGGTGATGTGTGGTTTGTATATAGCACATGGGAAATCATTCACTACTAGAAGCTCTTAGGCTGCATCAGAAACACAAGGACTGGATGATCCAGTAGACTGGTAACAGGCAAGTGCAGGTTCAACAGGCAAGTGCAGGTCAACCAGGGGATCAGGCCCA